TCCATCCTGCTTCATCCAATGTTACTGCTTTGTTCAGATTTATTAAGAAGAATTCGTGAAGAATATATCCCTTTAAAAGACAATGTGTCATCTTAGTCATTTCTTTCTCCTAAATGATTTTTACTTAATCGTAAAAATCACTGTTTATCAGATTGTTCCTAGTTCAACTGTAGGAGACGACGTCTGTCTACCTTTCTACGTTTCCATTCTCTTTTCACTTTTAATGACTGATATCTGGAGAAAAAAATAATTGGTTGATTATTTTCGGGAAAACTCTAACTCAGATTCAACTTTTTATCCGTCATTTGATCGTTTCAATGTCAGTCTGATTCAATGATGTGATTACTTTTACTTTCTTCATATACTACTATTACATATTCTCATAATAAACAATCACAATGCTATTTGTATGCTGATATCATCATTGTATAGCGAAAAAGATATCTCATTTAAGGTGAAGATCTGATTGGCATTCAAATGCAGTGAAATAAACAAACTGAAATACCTGTCAAACTCAACTACTGTCAAATAATATGATTAGAATGCAAGAAAAAAGAGAACCAGAGAGAGAGAGAATCAGGCTGACAGGTAGGCTTAACTCAAAAAACACAACTGGATATCTAAAGAGTTGACTGATAATAAGTTGAGAGGGAATTAAATGAAGGTAAGACAGAGAGAGAGATTCGAAACAAGTTCATTATGCCTGTATGCTTAAAATGCTCTATTTACTTGAAAAGTGATAACTGAAACACTTTTTCACCACTGTACTATTAGTATTGTTCCTTGGGTTCCTGATTGGACATGAGGCTTCAACACAACATATTCAATTTTTCCTGTTCTCTTAGGTCCTCTTCATCAGGCTCCATGACTGCCCATATTCTCTCATCCCCTCCTCATGTGATCTCCTCCTTGTCACCCTTGGATGATCCACTTATTGCCTGCATTGCTTGCGATGTCATTCGACGTTCTCCTTAGCCTGTGACCAATCCATCTCTGTTTTCCCCTATATATATAGAGAGAGCTGTAGGTTCTTGGTTATCCTGTTCTCATAGTTTCTTGTTGCTAAATGTTTCTGCCGGGCTATTTGATCTTCACTATGGAACCAGAGAAGAAGGCAGCTGTTGAGAAAAATCTGCATTTACCCAGTGGAAATGCATTGCGTCACCATGTATCCCCAAAACAGATTTTCTTTGAGTTATGTATCAATCACAGCACCAGAGGAAGAATTTTGTGTGTACTAAACAGATTTGTCCATCTTCTCTTTCTTTTATCATCTTAATCTTCAGAAGTTTCAATCATACATCACTAGAAAGTGTGATGAAATGTCAACTCGATTTGTGTAAATTGTGAATGTGATTTCTAGTATGACCAGTTCGCCCACGAATCTGGTGAGAAATCGCTTAGTTTGAACGGATTTATTCGTCTGAGTTGATTTAAACAAAGCAGATGCGTCACCGATGAGCTTGGTGTCAAACAAGAGAAAGAATTATCCGGTTTTCAGTCTTGCTATCACAACTATTGGTGTCAATAAATCAGTAATATTTAATCCCATGCAATTGGATCATTACTTCCATTAACTTTATTGCATTCCCCTCCATTTTAAATTATTTTTAGGCCCATCTTCATGAAGAGTTGTACTATGTCAGGCTATCCAACTAATTACCTCTGTTTCATCTCTTTTTTTATTTCTGCCTTCTCTTAGTCAAATCCCCTCTCTTTTAACAGTTGAGTAACATTCATTGCGATAATCTCAAGACGAAAAGATACTTCATGCGCCAAAAATGCGAAACCTATTAAGGAAAACATCCTATACCTTCATGGTGTGACAGTATTATCAATGTTATCTTCTGAGAGATTCCTCGCATTTAGCTTCATTTTTGCCAGTTAAAACCATATTTCATTATGAAGTTTGTAAAAAACATCGATCTATGAGCTATAGGCCCACAAAAAGTGTTCATCTTGATGAGGACTCCCGTTAAAAAATATATATTGGCTTCCGTGTCTTGCCTTTTGTTGTTACATTTGGTGTCGCTGCCTGCCGACAAACGGAAAGCCTGTTTCTTGCATATTTGAAGGAGACATATGGATCTTCTGACAGGATTTTGAGGCTGTTGTGCAGTTTAGTGGCATGCTACACCCGTCAGCAATGAGGCTACTACTTAGAGTGTTGCATGGAGGTCGGGTGACGGCAGCATATGATAATGTGAGGCGGAACACAGAGGAATACGAGCCAGGGCCATGCAAACTCCTTCTAAAGTGGTAAGGACTATATATAGTCACCGTAAGACGGGTCACGCAGATACGATCAGAAATGTGAAAATAGAGGAGAAGGTGAACGTCAGAGAGCTCCGGAACTCGATACAACAAGACAAGCTAAAAAAGCTATCAACAACAAGATCTGACCACCTTCAGTCAAAAGTATTTGACAGGAAGATGAGTGTAGTGGTTTGATACAGACAATTTTTTTCAACGGAATATGATTCTCACATATTCCCACAGTTCAATACGGCATTAGCAACAGAATAGGGCATATCTATTCCAACATTCTGTTTGTTGTTAGAGTCAGAATATTATTGTCACAGTTCAATACTGGATTGTCAACAGATTACTTTGTATAATGGAACATTGTATTTCATGTCGTTTAGTGTAAACTAAAATCACACTCTCAGTGATTGGTTAACGAATGTAAACTGTTTATATATAAACAGCGGTTCGATGAATTAAAAATATACCTTGGCTTCCGTGGCTTGCCCTTTGTTGTTACATTGTAACTGTCTTTGTCTACACAACAATGTACAGGTGAAATGTTTGTATCAGAAGAAACGATCTGAGAATCTCTCTTCTGTGAATAGTCTCCTTATACCACTGAGATTTATTTGAATATTTCCACTGATCTGTATATCATCATGCTAACATCTGTTCATCTTCTTTTAAATTAACCCTTACTATATCCCTCTACTTTTAACTGATTCCTACTTATAGTGTTTTTCTTCACTGTTCTGTGACGGTGGACTGTGTTGTTTTACAATTTCGTTTGAATTAATTGAAGGTTTCGCCATGAAACGACTACCTGACGCTTAATTTTCTGCGAGAAACGTGCTTTATTCCGATTGATTCTTGTAGACATAGTTTTGATCTATGACGCTACAAATTACCACTACGCCGTCCTGGTTGAAACTTGTCCTGCCGAAAACCACCATCACTATACTGCATATAAATTCTCTATTATAATTTGTTTTAATCTATAATAATATGACCACCAATGGTATTTGTTTACTCTCGCGAGTAATAAAAGTGTTTACAACCGCCTAATTCGCAAGTTTCTAATAAATCTAAGAAAAAGCTTAATCGTGGGTGGCAGCGTAGCCCACTTAACACATTAGATTTTTGCTCCTGAGATATTTAATGCAAACTGTCACTGACAGAGAAATAAAAAGTAACTACCTGAAGTCTTTTTTCATCCATTTATTTCCTTTGGACCTCAAAATGTACTCCTACATTTTTTTAAATTTGACTTTCAACCAAAATATCATGCTATTCCCGAAGAAGACAAAGAAGAAATATCATAAAGGGGTCGGTTCGCGCTTTAGGTTATAGAATACTGTGTCAAGCGACCTACTGTCAATTACTGTTTTACCTGAAGATCCTGAACAAAAAGCAAAATTTCATATAATAAATACCGCCGAAAATTCTGTAAATTATACAAACAATGTCCGGAATAAAGCCATTATTATCAAAAAGAAAGCACTCACATCAGCCAGTAGCGCTTGTTAGCCATATCGAAGTGACCTAGACACCGGAAGGCGGTTTCGCTTGTCTGGAGACGAGCTCATTCCTGTTGTACCCTGTCTGAATTAGATGAGAGAGACGAATCAGGTTGAGCCACCCGAATTCTAGCCAGGCGAATACTTAGATGAGCCAGTAGTACATTGCAAATTAACTTTCGATTTCAGTTTTCATCCCGCCTTACGTCTTTTTTTCTTTCACGTCCCCCAGTGGAACAGAGGGCTTCAAGCTGGTGGCTTGAAGTTTCTGTAGTAGTGCTTGTTTTACATGATGGGGTTGCTAGCCTCATGCCCAACCTTTCCTATTTACCAGCATTGTTTCTGGCTTAGCGAGGTTAATGGGTGCGTCTGTGGCCGGGGATCGAATCCCGAACCATGTGTATGGTCGACGAGCGTCCTAACCTCTACGCCACCGACACGTCATCCGGCCTAGTTCAGAATATTCTTACTGATTCTCAGGCAGTTTACTGTTATGTTTTGGTTAATTAATTCTACTGTGCACCACCTTCAATTGCCGGATGGTAGAGTTGTAAACCTTGCCTTCTTGGTAGTAAGCCCAGTAAAAAGGTTAGGTTAGGTGTGACATTAGAAACTCCACCTCGTTAAAAAAACACCTATGATGCTGAAACTTCAAACCTTAAACTTGAAGCCCTGTGTTCCAGTTGTAAGTTAGGGGAATAAAGAAGAAGTAAAAGAGGTTTGGTGATTTATACAACAGATAAACACATTGATTTGTTTCTCTAGTTCAGGCCAAAATACTTGGGATTTAGTCATTATAAAGCTCATTTTGAGTGTTCCCATGGTTATATGTTGTAGGCACATACGTTTCCATCATGAAGAGAAATCATTCGTTATATAGCTTAACAGTGATGTGTATTTGTAGCAAATCTATTTTCACTAGTGAAGATTTCGAAGGCTAGAAATCGGTCGTTAAATGGCCCAAGCTGACTTTAATGGTAGTCTAGTGATGAAAGTGTTCTGTCTTATTGTAAATGATGGCATAATGGCTATGGGTGAGTAACAATGGCATACTAGGATACCAGTACTAGCTATCATTAGGCGGCCAGACTGTTTCATTTCCTCTCCATAATTAAAAAACACAGGATAGCTTACTCTCGACGCTACAAAAAACAAATATTAAAAGTGAACTCAAACAAAAACCAGCGTACATTCATGCAGAAACACACGTAAAATAACAAAAATTCATCAACTCACCAACTAAAAGTAACTGGATTTCTTTTTTACGATGTTCATATTCTTGTAAAAGAAATTTGTCAATTTTATGACTATGATATCTTGAACGTTTACGAGTAAATCCTTTATTCATTTAATAAGGATTGAAATTATGATTCATGATTTCTTTTAATTATTTTTTTTTTAAGAAACAAAGTAGGCGTATACTGATCCCTTTTTGGATGGTTTATGAATATTTTGTCCTTTGTCGCTTTTTGTTTTAGTTTTGGTTACAGTGGATCAATAAAAGATGAATTGTGATGAACTGGTTCACATAATGAATGTTAATGACTTAAATGGATTGTTAAGCAGTTTGCTTTTCATTATATGGGTATACTCATGATAGATAAGTAATAAGATCTGATTAGGATTATTGTGATCTGACCACTTTTCAAAACATCATATCTGGAATTTTACAAAAAAAAGACGAAAACTAAGAGTAAAAGCTGAATGAATATGCATTTACAATAAATAATGCCGGTAAATAAACTACATCATATATATATTCAATAAAACTGGCATAAGAATAAAGAACTTGGACACAGTGTGTATGTTTACTCATTCCTGTGCGTTGTAGGCGGAAGAATATGTGGCTTCAAGCTTGAAATTTGAAATTTTAAGAACATTAGTTTTATTAAAACGAGGTGAGTTTGCTAGCCGCATGCGAGACCACTCCTTTTTACCAAACCTACCACCGGTGAAACAGTTTATTAGGGCATTGAACGAGATTTAACGCAGATCACTTTCGTGATTGCCAAATATTCTACTACTAAATCACTACTACACTATGTGGCAGGGTATGATTCCATTACAGAATCAGTTTATTTGATGAAAGCACACAGTGATACAGTATTATCTACTGATGATGTTTTGAGTAAAATTTATTGCGCATAGTCATGTCAACGTTAAGCGTCGATGGCGCAGTAGTAGAACGCTCGCCGACCACACATGTGGTCCGGGTTTCGATCAACGGCTGACGGACTCCTTTATCTTGCTAACTCAGTAATAAGATTTGTAAAGAGGGAAGGTTGGGCATGAGGCTGGCGACCCCATCCCATAAAATAGACACTACTGCTACTGAAACTTCAAGCCTTTAGCTTGAAGCCCTATGATCCACTGAGAACGTAAAGGTTTAAATAAATGTCATGTCAAGGCACTTACACTACTTTCAAACTTTGTTTATGTGACTCCAATTTTTTCCCTTTATACCCCCTGTGGAACATGGGGCTACAAGCTAGAGGCCTGAAGTTTCATTAGTAGTGATGTTTATTTTACGGGATGGGATCGCTAGCCTCATGCCCAACCTTCCCTCTTTACAAGTCTTATTACTGGCTTGGCAAGGTAAAGGAGTGTGTAGGCCGGGGATCGCACCCCTGACCACCTGCATAGCTGGCGAGCATTCTACCGCTGTGCCATCGACGCACATAACTATGTAGTTAGCCATTTGTTATAAGATCCATAGCCTAACAGGGAATGTCAGTGACCTAATTATCAAGTGACCTACCATTGTCATGAGTCCTGTTAGGTATTGTGTATTCATTAGTTGGTTTCTAGCAGCAGTGAATCCATCAGTATGTTCTCTGAAATCCATCATATAAATACACTCATCTTATGGTGATACAGAATCTCCACAATGACATTAGTTTAGTTCTACTAGTTGTTATGTCAGATGAACTCATCTAATATGGAATTATCAGATTTGATTTAGCCAAGCATATGCATCATGTGACAAAAGTGTTTAAAAACCTCACTGTAGCTCACCCTTATTTTAAGTTTACAATCAAATATGAACGCAACACTCAGTTCATTTTTTTCAGTATATCACTGTGAAGCGAAGAAACGATACAACCACTGAAAAAAAACTATTTACAGAAAACATAAGTAGACTGGTCAGTACTCAGACTATCAGCGCTTTTTCCTAAGCCGAGGATAAAAGAAACCTGGTTAAGATGCACTTTATTCAGAAGGAAGATGTTATTTTCGGAGGAAACAAAAATGATGAGGGATTCAAGATAACTGGAAGGAATCTTATGGAGAATGAAATATCACTGAAATATAGAAGAGAAGAAATACCCAGAATGAGGCCTATAACATTTGAAAAGAAACTGGTTTTGTCATATTCGTTACCAAGTGACTCCAGTTAGAGAATCTTTGTAAATCAGGGAGAGCAGTTTTGTACCTATCTGGGACTCCTCATCAATCAGACCTGTGAATCCATCAAGGATAGAACGCAGAAGCTTCAGGTTACTAAGTGGCGCGAATCGACAAAATTTAGAAGTAATGCGTTATCGAAATTAGTCCCAGTAGCTAAGTGATACGCGAGCTTGCCTCGTAACCTGGAGATCCTATGTTTGATTCCGTGTGGATTCATGTATCTGACTGCTGAGGGTTCCTAGATAAGGATGAGACAGATGTTCAATACTCTGTAGTTTTCAGTGGTTCACTGTTTAGAAAAAGGAAGAAGCATATGTGAGAATTGGAAAAAGAATCAAAGGTCCATTGAAAAGTCAATTTAACTCCATCAGATTGACTCCTCTCTATAACATTAAATACGGACTAATTCAATTGAAAGTAGATAAGTATCATGTTCATATCAACGCTAACTGTATTCACTTTTCAAATTTGACTACGGATTGATATCAGATAGAGAACCATAAAAAGCACTAGGGAGACCTGAACAAACGTTTTGTCAGTACGCACCCACTGGGTTTCGAATCCAGGTCAATGAGTCCCAAACTAGGACGAAACAGCTGTTCAGTATTACCTCGTGGTTTCCCACAGTTCTCTGTCTGATATCAATCCATGATTAGACTTGAAGAACGGATCAAATGCTTACAAATCAAGTAAGTGTAAAACTAACTGTATCAGCTCATATGAGCTTGTAGTAGCAAGTACCTGGAATAGACTGAGGGGAGAGCACCTATTGGATTTTCTGAGCATATCCACAACATCTTCATAAGAGAAGTAAGAAAATGTTTGTAAGTGAAATCGCTAAGCGTCTGATTGACAAAGAGCATTCAGTCAAGCCTTTAAAACACTGGCTACTTCTCTCCACAGAACCCATTGCTATCAAAAGATTTCAACATAATCTTTGGATACATGAAAATAGTGTGTTTAGTTTCACACTATCCTTGTAAACAAACGTCTCTATTCTGTCTCGGTGTTTTTGTTGCGTAACAATTTTTTTTATTACAACTCACTGAGCTGCACTCATTATCAATCTTCAGTAATAACTTAATTGTTTGTTTTTCGTAATAGTTTTGTTCTCATTTACCATATATATTTTCCCTCCCACATCCTCCTTTCAAACGTTCTATCACATTGTTGTCTAATTAAACTCTGGTTGTTAGATTACTAATTGACTTTTGTTTGTATCCCTTGTTCTACAACTATTCCCTTTTAAACGAAATAATCTAGAAGTATAATAAGTATTTACGACTACCTGACTCATTAAAACATAGAACTTTGCACAGATATGCAAAAGTTTGAGTTACCACACTTCCTCCGTGTAGCACACAAAGCGAGAGAAGGGAGTAAAGAGAGATTCAAAAGAGAGGTGGGGGATAATAAACAGAAATCGGAAGCAAAAAGAAGAACGATAGGGTTTTATTGGATACGACAAATTACAAAGACTGAATGCATCTGTGCCAGCCAGTGAGAACGATTTTGAGCCAAATTTCCAATTGTCTATGGCCATTGGTTCTTGCCATCCTGAGGACCCCAACCAGGAAGTCTACACCTGCCTACTTGGCCATCTCTAGCTAAATTTTATGGATTTCACTGGATGATGGAGCCATGTTTACGACTGCAGGCAACACTGATTAATGTGGATTCGAATCTCAGAAGGGACATGAATTCCTTCAAGGTTGATTGTTGAGTGCCAACTAGCACGAAACTCAGGTCAGGCCATGCTTCCTGTCGATTGCCTCCAACCATCATCAAATCACTATACACCGTGATGGCGAGCTACTTAATGGCATGGTGGCAACATTGCAAACCTGACTGATAGAATTCAGTGTGCAACAAAGAAGGGACTAGTTACTGACTAGCGTCCAATCAAAGCAGAGGTTTTCATTTTGTATTTTTTTTTCAAAAATCCGCTGATGATCAATGGTTTCAATCAGCGTAAAATTTTATTCTGTTTAATTTACATGTATACTGACACAAAGAATAAGCATTACTTTATAGTCTTTATAACACAGATGGATAGTTTTGCAAACAAAGTATTTTTTGCTTAAAAAACATTGACATGTCTGCCAGAAATGTTGTTTTTTTTTGTTGTTATGCACTTCCCATTGATCGTTTATTGTAGACAAATTGGTCTAGAATGTAATAATTTGAAAAGTATGTACAAGGTTCGAGTCCTGGTGGGAATACCATCAACCACCGGGGTGTATGCAGCTGATGAGTTACAAATGGGACAAAATACGTATCCAGTAATCTAGTGCTAGTTAACATCAACCGAGATAATCCGCTGTTAGGCATATATATAAAATATTTATTCGCAAGAAAATATTTTGAACATTTATGCGAATTTTAACTCCCAATTCCTTTAAAGTCAATAATGTGGTCAATTTAAAGTATAACGATCCAAGTGTGAGAACGCACTTATGACCTTGGACGCATAAAAGTCGTTGTGTGACAAGATGTACCATTATTATAGCACCACTATGAAGGAACTGAAGTGTGAATTTCATCATGACCTCGTTTTCAAGTACTGTTTGGATAATGAGTTGATAGCCCGTTGAAGTTGCGTTCATGGTTAGGGTTAGGTTAGGACTAGGATTGTGAACAGAGTTAGGTTTATGAATACGGTTATTAATAGGGTTGGGATCAGGGTTAGAATGTTTTATTTTTATCATCTGCATTTTTCTAGCAAATATTTGTCATTCCTCCTAATTCAGGGCTTTCGGAGAGGACTGGAAACCAGGATAAGAGCGATAAGTGGGTCACAAAATGAACTCATCTTCAGTTGCCTTGATGAATACATGTACAGTAACTGGTTCAACCTAAAGCCTGGTACTCCGCGATTTTAATTAACAGAAATTTTAAGTCAAATCACGGCAAAATACCCTATTTAATGTGTATTATCAT